TTTGGACAATATGTAGTATAAGGTAGTGGCAGAGTTGGGTAATGAAACCTACATGAATTGATAGAACAATACAAGCCAAGACAAAGTTCTTCTATAGCAATATTTGTGCAAATGCTTCCACAAGGGTGATAGCTATGTATATTACCTCGGGGGTCCAGGGAGCAGAGCCCCCTGGCTAGGGAATATATACCACGGTGTTAGGTTAGGTTGGATGTTGGGTTAGGTCTCCCATTTGCTCGAGGAACAATGCCTAGAATCTTTGAAAGCAGTGGATTTCATGCAGAAAAATATCAAAATTGTTTTGAAAGTAACCCATCTTCTTCCCTTCTCTTTTACGTATAGCACCCTTGGGAAGCATTTGCACACATATTGTCATAGAAGAACTTTGTCTTGGTTTATATTGTTCTATCATTTCATGTAGGTTTTATTACTCAACTCTGCCACTACCTTATACTACATATTGACCCAAAATTCATACAACACATTTTATGTGTACCTAACACAAAATAAAATGTAAACTGTACAATTGATATTGGTATGATCTGCCTTTTGCACAGTGATTGCTACTGCATCAGTTGTTCATGGCATCATACTGTTAAGGTCATCATATGCTTATATTCTAGAAGGATTGAGCTTGAACTGGTTCTTTATTAGATGATAAACTGTCAGTGTATCATCAATGTATATCTCATACTGAAACCAGTACAGCAATCGTACCTACATCTTTGCAGTACAAGAACCGATATGGGACTGACTCAGATAGATAAAATGTGTGATGCCCTGAACAATAAACAAAATGAAACAATCCTTGCTTGTGATTGGCCTGTTGATTTAATAGTAGTTTTCATTGGTTATTTTCTAAAGACAAATTGAATGTCCAGGAATATTTTTTTCCTGATAAATGATTCTGTTCTAGACAAATGTATGTCTAAACAAAATTGCATCAATCAGTTCTTTACCAATGAAGGATGAAGCAAGAGTCATGTTTTTTTTTGTTTTTTTGTTTTGTTTTGTTTTTTACTAATACTCATACGCACCTGTTTGGTTCTATCTATGTAAGTGCATTTGAATAAGTTTTCCTGAAGCTTTGAACCTGGCTTTTATTTTACCATAAGATTACATGGCCCCTTTTTTCCTTATCCTATTAAACTTCCAGGGGCCTGGTTCAGGACAGCAGCAGCAAGCAGTGTGTGCCGCTCTGCTCCCTGGCGGATCTCAAGCTACGATTCTTATGTCCTAGTGACTTACCAGAGGTAGGTCTCAGTGTAGACTCAGGTCCTTTTACTTGATTTATATAAATTTTTACTCTATATATTGCCTTTGTCACAATGTTTTGTGTTAAACATACAAGAAAGTATTGATTAATCTTAGAGAGAACTACCACTTTTTCTCTTATGTGCTTACAGGTAAAAACACTCTGTCGCCAGTGGTTTCCTATTGAATATCCAGATGTTTGGTACGAAGACATTACGACAAATCCTCATTTTTATGCACTGGCAGCTACTCTACACATGCAGATAATTGGGCTGCTTGTGGCTGAAACTAAACCCCTATCCAAAATGAACAAAGAGGTGAAGATATTTCCTAAGTAGCTTATATACTGTATTTAATCTTAGTGTAGAGTGTGAATTCTTTATAATTGCTCTTTTTATTGTTGTTGATATTAAATACATTTCTTTTTAGAATATCTCTTATTCAGGGTTATAAGTAATCCAAGGCCAGACCATGAATGAGTTTTCACAATGCATTGGTTTGCCGTTGTATGTACATTAGATATGAATAACTCTCAACAGCTAATCATATACATCTTTCCTGGCAGGACCAAGACATACTCCCACCCTCCCTAACGGGCCAGACTCAGATCGGCTACATCCTAACCCTGGGTGTGAGTGACTCATTTCGTGGCCATGGGATTGCCTCATTGCTGCTGGACAATTACTTGGGTCATTTGACGGCCCATGAGTCACCACAAGTACAAGCTGTCTTGCTGCATGTCCTCACCACTAATCAACGAGCTATTACCTTTTACCAGCGACGCAATTTTGTGTAAGAACTTACTTTGGTGAAAAGTTTTTATTTATTCACTTGTTCTTTATGTATTTTTCTTTCTGTTATTAATTTTGCATTGCTTTCCTTTGCTATTCATTTGTTAATTTTTGTTCACCTTTCTTTCCTTAGTTTCTGTATACCTTTCTTTCTTTTTCTTTTTCTCTCACTTCTGTTGTATAAACATATATATATATAACAGAATATATATATATTTGTTATGTATATGCATATATATATATATATATATATATATATATATATATATATATATATATATATATATATATATATATATATATATATATATATATATATATGCATATATATGCATATATATGCATATATATGCATATATATATGCATATATATATGCATATATATATGCATATATATATGCATATATATATGCATATATATATATATATGCATATATATATATGCATATATATAT